AATTTGGTGATCGGCGTTACACCTCTGGCGGTTACTTTTTGAACGCATAAACGATTTCCGGGAGGCGATTAGTCGAACGACACCACTCTTGAAAGAGTCCGTTGCCAACGGACATCCTGTGTGGCATGACCCAAGTCAATTGATCTCTTGACATTTTTGAAATCTAATATAATATTGTAACATTTTTTTAGGAATGATATGATTTATATTTTTTTTCAAATCTGCCAGCCCCCACGAATTTATAATGGTCACCATCCGAACTAAAGTAAAACGCTTGTCCCTAGTATCTCAAGAATGTACTGGCTTATTGGTATAGGTTATAACATTATACTACTTTTAACAATACTTCCATGCTTTGTAATTAAGATGCTTTATAATTCAAACACAATTTTGTACCAATTGACTGACGTTGAGACAAGGCTGTGTATACAGTATAACAACCACCCAAGGGATGTAATAAAAATGGTAACTATAGGTTGTTTCCATATAGAGGTTGCATTAGTTTTTTATATATGTATACATTGGTCATAATATTTGTCCAGAAATATTGAAATGATACAATGATACATTTACAATTTAAATATTTATTTGAGTTTAAAATAAAAACTGATAGTGTGTTCATTGAAAACAAAAGTGGGGTAGGTAGTTGAGAATAACCTTTTATTTTAACTGTTGACTGTAGGAAAATCATTTAATTCACCTCAATTTATTATTATGTAGTGCTGCTTGGTCCATATTGTTATGCAAGGGTATTTTTCGATAATATACCACATCTTGCATCTACAGGCTGACATTTTGGTTCACAAATGAAGGACTTCAAGTAGAGTTGAAAAGTATAGGCTCATTTTCCAGTTTGACTATAAAAAGATAGTGTAAGGTAAAGTTACCGGAAATGCTGAATATTATTTTGGTCTCTAACAAGGGTGAATCTGTTAAAATATTGCTGAAATGTGGTGTTTTTACACAGGTTGCTCATACACATGCCCTGGGACTGTCTTAAAAATAGCCACTAGAAAGGTGATTTGCATAAAAGTAGTTACTGTAGTAAGGATGTCTGTATACACATGTTGTTATACATTATGCTTGAAACTGTCTAAAAGTTGTCACTATCGGAAGGTGATCTCCTACATAACAGGCCGTAGAATTGACCTGACCTAATATTCAGAATAAATTATTTCAAAACCTGTGACTTCTTTAATCAAGTTTTGGGACCTGTTGACTAGAGTCAATCGCTTAGTAGACTACTCTTGAGATCAGTTAGCTATAACAGTTCTGGGTCATTGCAGAGATAATACAATATTGTTATTTCAAACATAATGTACAGGAACTAAAACTCATGGTCATTGATGTAACAATATAAGTTATAGCTAATAGAAGTTTCAAATAAATTTTTTTGAGAAATAATTAATTTAAAATATCTTCACCCATGGAAATTAAGGTTAATGTGACATCTGGAGAACATATTGTTGTGATAAATAAATGTTTGCTACACAATCTGGAAAATATTGATCTCTTGTGTTATTTTCTGATCAATTGCCAAGCAGCAGATCAGATCAATATTTGACGAAGAAAACAATGTATTACTAGACACTGTGGCCAATACTACTTTATCTGCTGAATTCACCATATTCAACTAGTGACACTTTTAATATTCCAATGCTTAATTGTAATCCTATATCTTTCAAATATTGCATTTAACCACACCTGGGTATCTAACCTTACATTGGCAATTCTTGTTGTATCTTATTTCACCACACAACAAATCTTCCCTTATCTTAACAATCTGTACTTGTCAGAGCTCACCATACTTCATTACGTTGATGTCTACCCTTACCTGAGCAATAATTTATATATCATATTTCACCATACTTGGATGTCTACCCTTACCTGAGCAATACTTTATATATCATGTTTCACCATACTTGGATATCTTCCCTTATCTGAGCAATACTTGATATATCATATTTCAACATACTTAGATGTCTACCCTTATCTGAGCAATACTTGATATATCATATTTCACCATACTTGGATGTATAGAGGCCTGAAAATAAAAACATCAGAACCCACTTGGATCTCAGCTGCCTGTAAATACTGAATTAACTTAGCTACGGGGCAAGTAGGATTACCCGTTTTGGCAATGTGAACTTTATTGCCTTTCTTGTACTGATCATTTTTACTGCTTCGGATAGTGATGCAAACGTGCGTGTCATTAAAAACAATATCTGAACCCCTAATCCCTATAAGATCACTATATCTAAAAAACCCAGCAAAAACAAGTAAACATAAGCACAGATCTCTGATATCTTTTAAAGAACCTGAATGCTTTAAGAGTTCAACCAGACTGCACAAAATACTTGCTGTAACAGGCTCTTTCTTGATTGGTGGTTTACCAAGTATCCGTCTGGAGGATTCCACAATGTTCTTGATAAAATGATGTTGAGTAGGTGACGGCAAACCGGCCAAGGTGTGCATCCACTGAATGCTATAGCATGCCGATTCCACGCACTGTTTCGTCTTCTGGCTATGAATTGCGCCCTCAATCAGACTAGTTAGATATAATGACGCGTGGGAAAGATTGGCAGGAAATACCTGGAAACTGCATCCTTTGTCAAATTTTGC